TTCAAACAGATTTTTTACGACACATGCCAGAACCTAAAATACGGTTCGATTACGACAAGATCAAGTAAATCCCACAAAGTGCTACTCACCTTTTGGTCTCGAGGATTCTGCGACATCTTCAAACCTTTCAAGCGCATTATCAAATCGCCCACAAGAGATGATTGATTGTAAATCTGTAAAAGGGGCGGGCTTGATTTATAGTCAATGAATTACAAAGATTTCAGCGCTAGCACAGTTAGGGATGGCACTCTGGCATTTATAGTGAAGAGGACGTGTTTGTAGTGATCTTGCATATGTTGGGTACAAGGAATTTAAAACCAATACAGACACGTCTTCTCCATTGTAAACTTTCAGCAAATGCTGTTTGGCAATCAGTGGGGGGAGACGGACGAAAGTAGATCGGTGTTGGACAGGACACATAACTGCGTTGCGGAAAAGTGTGGCGTTGAAAATAATTCTTTCACTAGTATAGCCCCCCTCCCCAGAATTTCGTTGTCGAGCGTGGGAGGCGGTGTAATGGGCATGAAAGTAGAACAAGAGAAAAAAACCTAAAATTAATAAAATCCCTTTTAATTGTCTTGAAGCTCTCCTCTCATCGGAAACAAATTACAACTTCCGATGTTGTCATAATCGAACCGTATTTTAGGTTCTGGCATGTGTCGTAAAAAACCTGTTTGAAGAATATCGATTTTTCCATGAATATCCAGAACGTGAATTACGAACCACTGCCGAGATTTATGGTGGTATTATTAGAGAAGGAATAATCAGGTAACTCAGTTTTGCTGTTGTTTACTTTCTCATTAAAAAGGATAATTTGCAGTAATTTGCATTTCGCAACGGCAGTACGAAAAGTGATTGAATCTCTGCAGTCAGAAGTTGGTAGTATGTTGTGGACGTTTGGTATAGTCTCACTGACAGCATGTCGATCAAAGCTGTGTTCCTATCCTAAGGTATATCACTGGAATTTCTAATCTCAGGCGCAATTGGGCGACGGGAGGAGGGGGGGGGAGCATTTTCCAACTTCGCTGATTCCTCTTTACAAGTCTTGTTGTGGTGAAACCAGTGAACTCTTGTGAAGCTGGAACAAGCTCATCGAGCCACCACGATAACACATGTCAGCCTTTGAGCTCATGACATAGTTCAAGAAATGAATTTTGTCATGAATGTAAAAGAGTTGACAGGTACTCTTCACAAGAGTTCGAGGTGGTCTCTGCAAATTTGTCTGCTATCATTTCGTGGATCTACAGGTTTTAGCAGGTCTCGACGTGGTGGTTCGACTCGTCGATGGGAAGTAGCCAAATCGCGAACTGCCCCCCCCCCCTTCCGTTGCCGAACTGTGCCAAAATTTCTATGTTCATCTGCTTTTTGTATGTAAAAGCGCTATTTTCAGGTCTGCTCAATGATTGCACAACATGAAAATTTCTCGAAGTTTCCACAAGGACTCAAAGAATATGTGTTAGCTGGATTGAAAGGAGAGCTACCTGGGCAAAGTATGGCCCCACCACCGATGGATTCTAGTGGACGAGCAACACCACCCCTCAGTTGGACACCAGCACAACGATCATCGAGCACGGAAAGTGCCAAAGTAAGGATGCTCCTGATCACTGGAACTCAGTAGTCCGAACATATCGTGGTGGGATATCCGTCATTGAGGGTGGGGGTTTGGAGAAGATATCTATCCTTTATAGAGGGCGAGGCAAGGCGGGAATGGAGGGGGACTTAGACGCCTTTAATGAGTTGCGAAGGCAATCACGACTAGCCATTTGAAAATGACGGAGAGTAATCGTCCAGAATTTCGTCATTACGAGAAGCGCCATTTGGCCAAGCACGCGATATTGAACCGATGTTTGTCACTCTCTTGTTTGCCATTGTTAGCTGCACGCACGCTCGAATAATGGAGCAAAGTTTACGATGGTATTATCGCTTTTCGGAGTGATAGTGGAGTTGGGAGGAGCAGTAACGTAGCACAATTGTGATTCCCACCGAGAGGGGTCTCATTCGGTCGATGGAGGGACGGGGGTCGTATTCGCTTACGAGAAGTGTTTTTGGTTGGGCTGACTTTCGTTACCCCCCCCCCCCTCCCTCGCGGCAGCACTTTTTTGGGAGGGAAGTGGTGGGAATTTGGGGAAAACTTAGGAAGATTGCACGTAGGTTGGGAAAGAGATGGGCACATTTTGCTGAATTTCCTCAGCGGCGGGATGTGCTCCGGGGTGAATATGTGCTCAGAGACGCCTTTGCTACTTCATCAGCAACCTATGCCGTAGGATGTTGTAACTGTTGTGTTTCTTTCAGGCAACGTCAAGCAGCACTAGTGTTGGAAGTACAAATAGAACTGTGAGTATTTGATTGTATTACTTTTCAAACCTGTGGCCACCTTTTTATAAGTTTTGAAATTGTCGGAGGTAAAGGCACCGTTCGGGTTTGTCCGACGGGCGGAGTCGGGTAACGGTGACCATGCGTTCTTCCACAGCCGCAGACACGCCGTCTATGGCTGTGAAAGAACGCATGGAGAGAAGGGATCGCCAATGATGTCTTTCCAAACTCCGCCTGTCCGGCACTTCCAAACGATGTCTCTGAGTTAGGCAGCATTCAGACTTCGCGTCGGTCGCACGTTGGAGGCGCTCGGTGCGCATGCTTTCGCGCTTTCGCCTGCGTCGATCACGTCGAACGCGCGGTCGAAGCGCTGCATCGCGAGGTCTGAAGCGCTGCCTTAGAGTGCCTTCAAACTTTGCGTCGGTGCCTGTCAGCGTTATTAGCGACTAGGAAAATATAGGTATCGATTATTGCTAAAAATGCTGGTGAACGCTCAAGCTGGATCGATACCTATGCTTTCCTAGTCGCTAATAACGCTGACAGGCACCGACGCAAAGTTTGAAGGCACTCTAAGGCAGCGTTCAGACCTCGCTGTGCAGCGCCTCGTGTCCCACCGAGAGGGGTCTCATTCGGTCGATTGAGGGACGGGGGTCGTATTCGCTTACGAGAAGTGTTTTTGGTTGGGCTGACTTTCGTTACCCCCCCC